AAGAGGCTCTCTATCGAGTCCGACAGAAATTGATAAGGCGCTACATTAATGCTGCGTGGCCACAACGTCGATGTTATCCGAGGGTTGGGGGGGGGAGGTATGGCAGAAGAGGGTACCCCACTCGTCGTGAGCGAAGAGTACCAGACCTTCCCCTTTGTCTCCTCCGTCTTGATTCTCACGCCTTCGCCTTATCGTCCGTTCGCTGTGCGGTCCGAATTACTTTGTCATGTGCGCAATAAAATTAGCCCGCACGACGCGTTACTCGCTGATAAGGACGATAACGTGAAGAGATAAGCCGAAATATCGCGACGAGACTTTTGGCCGCTACGTTAGAGATGGGCCAGTCGTGGGAGCGATGCGAAATTAATGAGAGAGACGCGCCTCGGGATCGCGATGTGGTGTATCACGCGAGTTTTTGCGATGACGTCGGCGGGTCAGGAACCCGTCGTTCCATTCGTATGGATTTATAGAGGATAATGTACGGTCTGCCGTCGACGTAATGGATCTCTTAATTACGTCGTTTCATTTTGGCGATTAGGCGATCGCCGCCCACGCGAACCTCTCAGAAAGTCTCGCGCCCGCACGTCCCGGTCTTGCCTAATTTATGAAAATGTATTCACCGTGAATCGTCCGAGTGGGCCGTGACGTTTTCGATCGGCCTTAAGTAGCGTCGCGGCTCCCGTAATGAGCGGCCCTCTCTCGCCGACGGCGATCGCAACTGCCTAATTGCATTCAATTACAATCGTATCTATTATATCTTTCGATCTCGCTCGTGCTCGCGCGGCACGCGATTACGCGAATCAACGATAACCTGGTGAGAACCTGGAGAAAGTAGAAACACCTTGTTGAATGCTCGAATATTCTCACGAGATGCTAGAAACGAATGTCGTATTTCTTATTTGATATTTAGGATGCGTCCCAAAATGTTCTGACAACACTGACAGTATTGTTGCTGAAATCGGCATATTTCAATCGTTCCGAAATCGCTGGTAGGCTGTGACAGCAATAAGAATTGGAATGCATTTGCGGTATTATGAAATATTAGCAGACAGATACATTCACGATATAACTTATTTAAAATGTAAAGAGTGTGCAAAAATTAATTCGGAATTATAATCAACTTAACACCAATTTTAGTTGATGTACAATTATACGTATATTATTGTATATTATTGTAAATTTTATTGAAAATAATTTTAGAAATTTATTATCAGATGATGCAGAAGATTCAAATGTTTTAAAACTAATGATGAAAGTAGCCTTCTTTTCAGAAAGAATTTAAACAACATTTTAACAATCAGTCGCAATACTGAACTTGCACTATCTCGGGATAACGTGCGAAATCAACTGAGAGTCAGCAGTTTCCTAGGACTTGTTAAATTGCGTGAATAATTCAACTTTCGTTAAAAAAGCGACGCAGTCGGCGTAATAAAAGTTACAACATTTTTTTCGATAAGTTTCGCAATGCTTTTGGTGCTTTTAATAATAGAATTCATTTTTTAATAATACTCAAGAGATACATTTTCCTTCACAAAGTGTATTGCGAAACTCGTCGAGAAAAATGTGTTGCAACTTTTATTACGCCGACTGCACGTAATACTAGCTTGCAGCATACTGAAAACGATTTCAGAATGCAAACACAGTACTACCAGTACCGTCAGCACATTTGTTTATTACACAATGCACAACACAGCCTTATTTGTCTTATTATGCGAGTCCTAGACTTGACAGGCGTGTCTGGCCTTCCTACATCAGCTCGTACGTATGCAATCGTTCGACAAGTTTTAACGAAGCTTGTTAATCGCGTTTAATTTGAGTCCATCTATATGTGTGCGGATTATACGGAGTGCATAATGTGAGCGTTTTAAGAGCGGAGAAATATCTTAAAGCGTATATCGCCGCACTTAGCTTCGGCATGTCGAGCGGCCCCGTTAATTTCACTAATTAAGTTAGCGACCAACCGACCTACCCCCGTCTCTTACGTGCCTTATTTATACTTTTTTTTTTGCGCATTAATTTCTGGCTTTCGTATTTCTGCTCGGACTTCCTCGATGCCGCCGCTGTTTTCGCTTTATTCTGCTCGCCGGCGAGCGCGCAAATGTTTCCGCTCTTTCATCTTGAAAAAAACGTTTCTGAGCACGCCGAGCGATGCGCTTTTCTTCGATTTTAGATTTCGCGATATCATTGAATTAAAATTAGCAGCGGCAACGGAGATTCGCAATCTTATTAAATGCTCGGTCGTGTTTCCGCGACGTGATCATCACGTGTAAAAATTCTGTGCGCCGTTTAGAAGCCGCATAAATTTCGCGTGTAAGATACGTAGTCGGGAATAACGATCGTCGTTTCAACATGATAAACTTGTAATTATTTATCGGATAGCGACGTACGCCTTCGTGACTTACGCGAATATTCGCATGCAATTACGATAATTTTCCCTTCGACGTCTCTCACGGTGTTCTGTAGCCGCCTGTACGTTTTATTCAGTGTGGAATTCCAGAAGCCATAACCCGCGCGCTTCTCGATGATGACGGACGGGCCTCGTACAATGGCAACAAGACGGCTAACAAAATGCATAACCGTTTTGTTGCGCGTTATAAATCACAGCGCGTTTGCTAGGCTTTACTCTTCGGTTCCTCGGCGGCTTTAATCCATCCGGTTAATCATGAAAAATCGTCGTCCTGCTCCACCGCAGAGAGCGCGTGTATTCGCTGCACATTTCGTGTACAGAGTGTTTCACGTCAGGGTTTCGCCGTTCAAGAGCGGAATTCAATGGCAAAAGACATTCCAGCCGACCGGTAAAAAATCATATTACTGCGATTAGCTATCCTTTTGCCTCAAATTTTTTTTCTCCTTTTTTATTCTTGTCTCACCCCCTCTACTCGAGACGCTCGAGGATGCTCAAGCTGCGAAATGCGACATCCTGTATGTCGCCGAAGAGAGATCCTCGACGTGGGACGTTTATCCCCCGGCTCGCGTTTATGGTTTTTAACGTCGAGATGACAAATATGTCGTATTTAACGATATTTATGTGAACGGATCACATTAGCTTCCGCTCACAGGACCGGGGATTATCTTGTCCCCGAGAAATATCGCTTTCGCCGTTTGTCACCGAGCAACCTGCGTGGCGCGGCGCGTCGCTTGATATTAAGTTACTCCTTACGGCCGAAAATTAAGAGTGCCGAATACGGACGCCTGTCATATATCAAGCGCTCCTTTAAATAATTACGTGTTGTATCTCGCGTGGGATACTTGACCTTTCTTTTTTGCTCGCTTCTCTCGGTTATCTGCGAGAAGGCGTCGAATCGGGCGGATGTAACTTTATGCCAGAGCTAAGAAAAATTTTGAGAACATCTTACGTCAAGAAAATTGAAAGAGAAGGAGAGAGAAATCCCGAGAAATTTCTCCATGATTAAGAAAAAAATCGCAGGCACCTAGGGGGTCTAAAATGGTGCACGCGATAAATGAAGAAAGACACGTGTTTTCAAAATGTACGTCTCATATCAGTTTTTAACTGTACCAAGTTACGACGCGACGATCTCGGGCCTCGAACATAAGTTATTCGCGTGCTGCGTGCCCGGCGTGGAGCCTGCAGCACGACGAAACGGTAACACGAGAAACCGGACCCTACTTTGTACGGGAATGCATCTGCGCTTGTGTGGGAACGTACGTGTGGTAGCTCACTACCTTGCCGTTTCGCTGATTTCCATGGCGATAAAAGCGCGCTACCGCGGTCCCGCATCTTGTCCGCAAAATTCTAATCGCTATAAAAATGTGCTCAAGTGCCGGCATAAAGTGTCCTCTCGAATTAGCATTAGGGCGATTTGGATGAAGCGCTTAATTTCGGTATTTACTGAATCGCGCAGAAAAGGCAAGGAAGTTCACAAAAAAAAACATTAATCTTAAATCAATAATAGGAATATTCTCATATATAAGCAAGAGTATTGCAATCTTTTTAGAAGATGTTTGATTTGATTGCATTTGTACTGATGCATTACTTGCATTCAATTCAAGACTACTTTTAAATTCTTCTAAGAATATAATATTCTTGCTTATATATGAGAATATATATTATTAATTCAAGACTATTTTTTTTATGTGATGATATGATTGAATCTTGGAAGAAAAGAGTCAGTTCGGAGAGAAAATAGTATATCACTTAACGAAGGATCCCCTTCTGTATATATATTTTTAAATTTCTTTCGTAATTAAAAAAATTTTCAAGTCAACCCCATTGTCAGGTATAATGATTCGTACGAGCGGAACGCTTGTCTTGTTGCTTTACCGTTACACATGCATTTCTATTAGTCCACCATTGAATGTTCTATATAAAAATGTATATCACTCTTTATTTATTGGCCTTATGAAATTATGGGCTACGATACTCATACTCATACGCGAGGTGTGCGTTTTGATTTATTAACACAGCGGCCCGTTAAAAACGTTGAGATACACAGGGCTACAACCGTTGATATATTCAACTATTCGCTAGCCACGGGAAACCGTAATATTTTTCACGGTTAACTATATGGGCTCGCACGGTATATTAATTCGATCCCGAAATCGTGCCTTTAATCATTGGAAGTACTCTCGATAATTGGGGAGAATCCAGCGGTGGGACGTAAATTGATAGATCAACGATAAAGCACCGGGGATTCTTAATGAAAAGGTCATCATTATAAAATACGCGTGAGCTATCTAATAGAACGCGAGAATGATGTAGTGGCTATATGCCTGACTCGAAATTTATCGAAGATGTTCTGACACGCACACGTACATGTACGGTTCATCCGTGTATACTAAGTAGTAAGTTATATAATTTTATGCGTGTGTCTAGAAGGAAAAAGGAGGCAGAAAGAAGATAGAGATAGAAAGAAGACAGATAGAGAGATAGATGAATAGAGGAAGAAAGAGAAGGAAAACTGACGACGAATTTTAATATTTCGTCGGGGGGGTGTGGGAGCGTAATAAACATGGAGTACGAATGACAGAACAATTCTTACCTACTACCACCACGTGGCCAAAGACCTGATCATTGGCCACGTGGGAGCAGTTCCAACGATGATGCCTGAATTGGTGCCGACACTCGCGAAGACCCAGAGCGGCACCCTCGCCCACCGCGGGCATCGCGTGCGGCGCTTTCCTGCACTGCTCGCGTTGACTTTTCGCCAAGCCGGGGATGCGGCCGCAGACAGCCGCACCGACTACCACCGCTCCGACCACCCTGAAACAAAAAGATCCGTAGTCAGAATAAAATGCTAAAGCATGCTGTGGATGCGAGGATGAACTTTATCTTTTTTTCATCTTCAATCCCGCGTTAAATGTGACGATTCATTTACGGAACTATGAATTGTCGACCATCAGTCCTGAACAAGTAGGACCAACATTTAAAAACTAAAGAACAATTTAAAGGGAAACAATTATTGAGTCGCTGCTACACTGCAAATACAAATGTTATTTTAACTGAGGCTTTTCTTACACATTTCTTGCTGTTTTAAATCGCGTCATTAAACGGCAAGAAATGTGTAAAAAGAGCTTCAGTCAAATGTGTCATATTTAGGTATTTATGCGCGTAAAAATAACTTACTAGAATTTGCAATTTTATGATCTTACGAACTTTTGCAAGAACCTAATAGAGAAGTTACGCGCGCTTCGTATAATACCGTCATAAATTTTCCCCCGTATGGCCGCGGCTGATACGTACTGCGTACGAGGTTTTACGCATACGTGAGAGAAGCAGAACTTGAAAAATTTCACAGCCATCCGTCTTCCCTGTCCTTGTTTCGACACTTTGACGAGCAAGCTGCGAACAGCGATTAACAGGTGCTAAGAGCGATCTGCCGACAAGCTGAAACTCGATACCCGCAGCCTCCCACTGGTCCGTTGCGTAATTTATATCCCACAAAGCGAGCGTCTCACGAGCGTAAGGTCCAAGTGTCCTTACGAAGCGTGTCCCGTCTCTCCGTCCATGTTTCAATTGCCCTCCGCGCGGAGAAATTAGAGTGGTATAAAAAAGTATCACACTTGGATCACTCGGAAAGTGACTCGCAGTATCGTACAGTCCATTCGTCATCTCGCGACGAGCCATAAATATGCCTTTCATCGGGCCACTTACGATTCTGTTATTCCTTCCTGATCGGCAATGAAATATTAAGGCGCTCCGAGCACTCGCAGGGGTGAGTTATCAAGTAGTCCCCGGGACGAAGAGAAAGAGAGCGGCTTACGACGCGGTTTGCGGAAGGGAGAAGGATGGGCAGGTTGGATTTCTGAGAAGCATGAAATTGCGATGATTACACCGCGTCCCCGGGGCGAGAGTTATTTGCATTGGAATGCATCGCGCCGCTCTCGCGGTGGCCGAATCTCGCCACGTGGTGGGACGATGTACAGGGGCCCCGCGTGGCTCGCGCGAAAACGAGGGGTCGCCCGAAATCGCCCGCGGCTGGCTCTCGCGCATAAACGAGGAAGACGTAGACGCGCGAGAGGGAGGGGGCCGTTTTCGTGCGCGTCCCGCGACTCCCCGTCGTCGGGAAGATGCAATCGCGCGCGGGGCCCGCCGAGGTGAAGACGTCCCGCGTCGTTTTTCATAATAATACGACCGCCGCTCGACGGATTCCTCGGCCGTGCGCGCACCGTCCTACACCGTGTCCCAGTACGGGCCCCGTTACGTAAATTCGCGCGGGATATACACCAACTAGAGACACGAGGGCGTTAAATGTTAACGGCCACGCTCTTCCGATTAATTACGCGCTCGGTACGTCACTCGTTAGCCTTAATTAAACGCGGCTTGCACCGATACCTCGAAGGCATGTCACGGACGGTGGTAGCGCTCACTCATTTGTCTCCATCGCTCGTTACGCGGTTAAGGCGTGCTTTATCACGACTGCGTTCACGATCCGTCGCTTTCGTCGGAATTGCTTCACGGCGTGTCTCGTCTTTCTCGCTGAAAGAAGATCGATGATGCAGTAATTGTTTTAAACTTCTCCCACACAGAAAGTCGCAACTCTCTCTCTCTCTCTTTCTCCCTTCCCCTCTCGTATTAATCGGATTACATGAATTATTAAAATACGTATCCCCCCCCTGGGAGAGTTTGCGTAGCCGTGTCTTCTCTTTAGTATGCTGGCCAGGCACGAGAGAACAACCGACTCCGCGTACATGCGTTCAGCAGCAATCCACACGTAGCCATTAGCGCGTAATGTATAACATTACGCCCGCCTCATACGGAGGCTAATGGTGCGCTATTTGCAACAGGGTACCGCGGCACCGTTCGCCAACGACCGCTAAAGCCGCTGTCGGGACGATTTTTCAATCATGTCGCTCGTTTGGATTTTTAGTCGGTCTTCGCCGGACGCTACCGTTATCATCCCCCCGGTGGAGTTACAACCGACGAGAGAGAAAAATATATATTTTCAACAGCGATATCCGAAGGAAAGTTCGTCCTGCAAGAGAGATCACGAAGTCGTGATAACGCTTTTCGCGATCGGACATGCTCGACGTTCCGTCGCGAATTCGAATGATATCGATTTGCCTTTATTACAGCCAAAGATATCTGGCGCGCGATTTATTATCGTGATCAAACACCGTGCGATACACGTATCCCTCTGTCATTTGGCATTACCAATATTGCTCTAACAACGACTTCGGGCGTGTATGATAGAGGAGGAGAAGTACGATGAAACGAGAGGGAGCGCAAATTTCTGAAAAAACGAGGAAGTCGAGGGAAATGATCGGTCTCGCGTCGGCGATACCTCGATCGTAATAAGCTGTTGATAAGCTACTGTTAAAATGCTTTTGATACCGCCGCGCGGTACATAGGAAGTACGTGAAATTCGACATGTTTTCCCCGCAGAAATGCGTATCAATTCGTATTGCAGTAGGTCCGCAAAGTATCATTAGCGACGCATTCTTCGCTCAAGACACTCCCCTGCGAGGCTAATTCTCGGATATAAAATGTCGAATGCCTTCGCGTTTCTACTCGCACAGATGACGTATAATCGGCCGTATAATCTTCGCGAGAACTCGTCTAAACGCTTCAATCTGGCTCACCCCGAGACTTCCTTATCCCGCCGTGCATCGATCTTTACCGTCATACCGCGCGATTTCTCATCACGGCATTTTTCGGCGGAAAGTGAATCACGATCCGGCGATTCATCTGAGGACCGCAACCGCAGCTCGCGTTTTTCGAGAGGAACTTCCGTGCGGTTAGCCGCAGAGATCAAAATGAAATCCTCCCGCCACACCTTCGTGAATGATATATCAGTGTTGGATAAAGTAGTATTCGACATATTTGAAGCTTCGATATAATTTGACGTTTGGCGACAAAGTTCGAAGATTCGAGAACTCGAATTATTCGGAGATTCGAAACATCGATGTTGTTAATAGAACTAATTTTGGAGAGTGCAACAAATTGCTGTGATAATTAGAGAATAACAGTTTAACTTAGGTAATATTGAGACGTTCTAAAATGTCGTGAAGATATCTTTAAGACAATAAGGCGCCTAAAGGACGTGCGTATTGTTTGGATAAATATCTTTAATTCATTTCTGAGATTTTTGTATTTGTCTAGTTTAAAACAAAGTGAATGAAGAAAACACAACAATAAACAACAAATCTCGTTAATTTTATTTTAAAATAAATGCAAATTTTGCTATGCAGGACAAATTACATTTTTTCAGACGATAAATATTATTTACTATACTGTAAAAAAATTATCCATAAATAATGGTCCACTGATATTTTTGTGTTATTTTAACATGAGAATATGTTAGAAGGTACACAAATATATGTTAAATTAACATATTCTTGTTAGAGTAAAACAAAAATTTCAGTGGAGACGATCACGATTAAAAGTTCGGAAAATTCTAAATAATAATACAGAAGCGAGCAGAGGCACGCTCTGGAAAGGATCAATCTTAAAAGGAAGCTCTAATCTGACTATCGCTTTTGCTCCGGGACATCCGGCTTGACGTAAATCCCCCGAGTGATTCGTGGCGGTAGAAGTATTTGATAATGCTGGGTTACACGGCAGATTACACGTGGATTGACGTTAGAGACGTATAGTTGATACGGGGAATCGGTAGTGCCCGCTTTGGCGCTTCCCTTCGCTCCGCTCCGATGATATCTCGATAATAATCGCGGCGTGTGACACCGCGGGGGTTCCGCGGGACAGACAAGCAGGCTGTATAATACGACGAAACTGCGTCGCTCCGCTTGCTCGAATAACTGTAAATCTTTGTAATGGCTGGCGCGATGATATCGCAGATACCGTCGCGAAACGCTCACCCGCCGTATCTCCCGAAAGAAAAACGGATGTTTCGCTATCTATTTTCAAAAAAATCGCTCAACTGGCAGAGACATGATCGCGATCGATAAAAATTTACACGTGCAATTCCAGCGTTATTTTAATACATTCGACTGACAGAAAGTAGCACGTTCGGTAATCGCCTCGTTGCGAAAACGTATCAGAGACACGCCAGCCGAAAAAAGGGGGAAAAAACTTTCCGCGGTAATGTGCCACAATTATGGAGATAATGGATCGCTATTATTTTTTGCAAACTTCGCCTACATTGTAGAGATACCACGAGGCATGGATAAATACCATCTGCGTGATCAATCGCGTTTATCGCAGGGTATACTTAGGAAGGAGAGAGAGAGAGGTAAAGAGCGAAGGGGGGAGAGAACGGTAGGCAGTAGCAGCGGACTTAATAATTACAGAGGTCGGTACGCACGCGTGTCTATGTCTTTCGAGATCTCGATGCAACCGAGCGCGAGCCAGCGGGCTCAATTTAATTAACGCGCTCACATCGAGGATCTTTTATCGTCCGCTCTTATGCAGATCGCGCGTATTTTTCGCGAGCTCGCGGAATCGCTCCGCTCCAGGATACGGTTATATTCAGCAGGAACAGCATGACCTTTCCAAAGTGCAAAGTTAAGGATCGACGTTCATTACGCGTTCCTGGAATTTACGTGCGCACCTCCGCACAACGCGCCGCATCCTGATTTCGCGTGTCTTTATCTGCCATCGTGCGAAGAAGGGAAAAACGCTCGGTAAATTGCACGTTACCGGCGCGTTCGACGCGTTTCTCCGAGTCTCTCTTTCGTCATCGTTCTACCGAGCGTTCTACCAATAACGAAGCCGATACATCATCCTCTTATCTAAGTCCGCAGATGCACGACTCGCGATTGCGGCTGTGAGATATGTAGCGGAATCTCCCGCGTGTCCCGAGC